CCTATAACTGTAGTTTTGAGAGTTTTGCTCCGGCAGATTCACACTCTTGGGATGTGTGTCTCTGCTGCTAAGGGCTTGGAACGAACCAAAAAAAGAAGGGCCCACTGCAGGCATCCAAATGCCCCCTAACTGATCCAATTATTGGAAATAAAGTTATTACAGCTTCATTTCTTCCTAATTCAAAGACTCCAAAGTAAGATTCCAAAGAAGCGGGTAAAATGGATCCTCAAGGGTAAAATATATAGGGAAAAACATACATATACAAGTTGGTTTGTCTCATTAAAAATTTTTTTCTAATGCTTTTAAGCTCAAAAAAATATTAGCCTCCTAATGAAATAGTTAGTGATTTGATTACTCTTCTCACAAATGCCAGAAAACAAACTTCTGCCTTTTACAAGCAGAACTCCTCAATCTGTTAAGACAGCTGTATTATACAAAAGTATCTTTGAAGAAGCCTAAAACCTAACTACACAGTTCTGTGTATGGAAGAGCTCAGATTAAAATGTAGAAAAACTGAATAAAATGAAAAAGCTAAATCAATTTGCAAGAGACTATCTGAAAGAGATTGGTTACTTTCTGGGATTTTATGTAATTTTCAACGTTATCTTCCCTTTTTCATGTCGCCAAAAGTCTGAGCTTCTTTTAGCATTAGTATGTTAAATATTTTTGTTTCACAGTATTTGGAGGTTTTACAAAAGCATGAAAGATCTTGATGCATAAACTTTGTATCTGCAAATAAATTCTGTAGCAGGTCTAAATCTTGAAAAAGAAGAACTTCATGTAATGTTCTAGGAAAGGTTTAGTCTAACAGTGATGGACTAACTTTGAACTACTCAACTACACACAAAAATAAGTAACTTGTACTGGAACAGCGGCAAATCAAAAGTTAATGCAAAGAACTGAGGTTACCGAAATGAAACTTCTCCCTCAACATTCCCATCTACCAAAAGGAAAAAAGATGCCTGAGAACAACAGAAATTCCTAGGACAATTTCTAAAACTTAATAGGATTTCCTGTAGTTTCTTGGAGTAGTCAACTTCAGAATGTGAACAAAGCACAATTTCAGTTAAGTGAACAAAACTGGTTCAGAATATAGACCTCTACTTGTTTCAAAAGCCTTCAACTGCACCAAGTACTACAGGAAGTGTGACTACTGGCAGTAGTTAGAAGAGAAGAAAGTGTGAATTAAGTTTCACTACCTTTCTGAAGAAATTATAAAATCAAAATATCGCAATGTAACCAGAGCAGAGGATGGTTTACCTGTCAATTGTCATGGAAAAAGTCAATTGACTTCTCTAAAATCCCATTTGAATCACTTTTTTTCCAACTTGGATAATCTGTCTTGTTAAATAATAGCTAGATGTATCGGTAGTACTACAGATTCTTTCAAAAGAGAAGACATGATCTAGTATTGATTAACATATTTTATCTGATGAGGGTATAGAGGCCATTGTGAAGGGAGCAATGGAAACTGAAGACCTGAGTTATGCCATGTTCCAAGGACTATTTAGCAGTACTGAAGCTATTAAATATAAGAGAAGTATTAGAATGCAACTTTTGGTGCCAAATGCCTAGATCTTCAAAATCTCCTTTCACTAACAGATACAGAAAAATTAGTTGTTAAATTAATCAATAGAGAGACTTTCTTGAGGATAAAGTAGGAAGAGGAGGTGAACTCCTGCCCTTCCACACAGAGGACAAGGATGAAACCAACTCGTTAAACTTTGCACCTCTCTATCATGATATATGGAGAGGACACACTCCACTTAATCCAAGAGCCAAGTAGCCCAAAAGGATAGAACTATAAAAACATAGCAGGAAGGAAGTCTATATTATAAAATCACTCCTTATGCATATCTAACACACAGTAGCTCAAATTTGTCAGATTTTGAATTAGTGATTTTTGCATGAAAGATTCCTTTTCATAAAGCAAAAGCATGAAAATCAGATTTCAGAAAGATAAGCTGCTTTTCAAAGAAGAAGGCATTTCTGCAAAACCCTGCGTTAGCTCCTCTTCTGAAACTCAGACTGCTTCCCACTTTGAGAGACTTTGGTGGAAGCTAAATACTTCAACAGCTTTATCAGAAACCATGATTTGTTACAGAAAGTAATATAATTACCATAAGGCTCCAGTCCCCATTTACCACCAGTACCAAATATAATAAAAGGACCTCAGCATTCAAAAAAAACCCCCAAAAAACAAAAACAAAAAACAAAAACCCAGACCTCACCATTGCCTTAGAAAAGGTGTATAATTTTTAGCAAGAATGTCCCCCCAAAATCTCTGCTGCTCCTCTGAAATACACTCTTCCACACTATTGGTCATTAGCCTCAGAAGAACATGTCCTATGCAACCAAACCCTTACTGTTAAAAAGAAAGCATTTGAAAATCTGTGATGGAGTACAGAACTGTGGAAATTTCATGTCTAAAATAAAGGACAGAAGAGACCACTAATCTACTATCAAAACTGTTGAGTGCCACTTCACTGAAAGTAATTTATGGAAACTGGTGTGAATATACACAGAAAACACAGTACGGCTGTAATATGCATTCCCATGCCTCTGTTGCAAAAGCAGCAAAGATGCTTTCATGCACGTTTTAGCATGCACTAGCATTTTGAGTAAGTTCTCTAAAGGGATGCTTGCTATTGTAAAGCATCAGCTGGCTCTAGGCATTCCCACTCTAATTAGACCGAGCACTTGCTACACCCACACTCTCTTCCTGACATAATGTGATCTGAAGTTACAGTACATGTACAAAAAGGCACAAATGCCAGGCTTTTGTATAAATACACTATGCATTCTACTTTGCAGAAACGAATTACAAATTCATAAGTTTGTGAATATGTCTCTAACAGACATATTCCTATAGGAACAATACAGGATACTTGCTCTTGTAGCCTCACAAAACCAAACAGCTCTAACTAGAACAATTCCAGAGCGTATCAGGTTGTAGACATAGCACAAATTTAGAAGCAATGTGCAAAAGCATTACCAAAAAAAAAAAAAAAAAGTTCTATACTTCTCCAAGGTAACATCTTCAAGAAATCTGTTTCAAGACTGCTAAAACTCTTTCTACTAAATACTACGCAGTTATGGCTGAAACCTCAAGAGCCAGAATGAAAAAGTGAAAAGTGCTGCTGTCTATCATAGGGGCAACTTAGCACAAGTGAATAAATAGTGATAATCTGTCCCAGTATAGGACAGCAACTCTTGTACTTGATTTATAGTAATTGTATGAACTCAGAGAGATCTGAGACCTACCAGAGGATGCAGGTAAAGGGAACCATAAGATCAGAATCTGTATTTGGGAAGATGTTTATTGACCAGCGGTGAACCAGGAAAGGTCACAGTGTATAAAAATCACTCCTTTCCTCAAAACAAACAAATCATGATCATGGATGTGTAATTATCATAAACTTTATAACTAATGGTCAACATTTTCTGAAAGCCAAAACAAAACAGAAAGTGTGTTTTTAGTCTTGATCAAGTGTTTGAAAGCTGCTGTGCATTTTTTCAGCTGCTTCTCAGGCAAAACATGGCAGAGATTCTACTTAAAGTGTGTGGAGATAAATGTAGCTTTTGAACTATTAAGCCACAAACCACAAGCTCTCTCCAACAATAAATTTAAAATTAATGGAAGAGATTTAAGCAAAAAACCAAATTCCCCATCTCATTAAATTAAAGACAGTAGAGATGAGCACATATTTTCTCCTTATACTCATAAATAGCTTTTGCCAAAAATATTTGATTTAGTTACCAAATAAGAAATATCATAGAAGTTAAACCTTTTAGTATTGCAACCATGTTTACAAACACACACACACACACATATACACAAGCACAAATACACACAAACTCTCCCTTCCTTTCACCACCCACTCAGACATCACTAAAAATAGTGAAAAACCACTTTGAACAGGGAGAAAATGTGCACCCTTTCTGCTGGTTAAAGACCCAAACTGTGTGCAAATTCATTCCACGCAAGTACGTCTACATGGGCCATTTCCACCTATGACCTTCCAAAATCAGAATTTTCACCATTTTCCATTCTGCAAGACTTTTCCTGCGAGTATCTAATAAATTAGGATTATGCTACAAAACTTTTTTTTTTTTTCTCAGAAGTTAAATAGGGTGCAAAGGAAGATTCTGAAAAATATTTATGGTAATTTATTACTATCTAATTCATAAAACACATCTGAAACCAAATACCTTCAAACCAGTTAACAAAGAGAAATAAAAAAAAATTTTGATCGATTCAATTAAATCCATTAAGACAACAAGTGCACCTACTGAAGTGAAGATAGATTTCAGAGGCCCACCTGGTTCTGTGCTACAGACCATAGAGATATATGGTAGTTCACTAAAGTTTCTAATGCCTACATAATAATTAATATCCAGTCGAACAAATATTAGTAACAATATAATTGTATATATTACCCAATCATTACACTACCTTCAAAAGAACAGAACAGATGTGATTTTAGTCTAACATCTCCTTCACATTGAATCCAAATGGGGACATGAACAGAAATAGGATAAAACAGTTTTCCTTCATTTTCTTAAATTAGGCAATTTAGGATTAATAATTAGGCAATTAGGATTAATAATACAACTGTCAAAACTTACTATAAATTTTGATTTATGGTACTGCTGGGATTTTAGAAATTATAAACAACATTAATTGCACTTCATTCAGTCTCATGGTTAAAAGTAAGAGTATTTTAAAAGAATTTTGAAACATAAGAATTTAACTTTCCATCCATTAAGACCCCAAATAAAGAATATCAGATATTCAAAATATGCATATATGAAAGATTACAGTTCATTGCTGGAAGGGAATGGAGATGAATGTCGCAGAAGAACCTACACTGCGTAAACAGAATTGAACTATGTGATAATGACAGGAAGTTTTTCTATATATATATATATGGGGTTTATATGCATATATATATATTTATATAATATATAGTGTATATACACACACACAATCCTTTTACCTTTATCTTGCACTTCTTTTGAAAATCGCTCCCTTTCAATAGCTGATTCACGTTCTATCCGCTCAATTTCAGCCAATGCATCCAATTCTACTTCATCATATGACGTTATAGCTCCTTGTTGCGAAACCTGTTGCTGTGTCTGTACCACAGGAGTCTGAGGTTGTTTTGCAGCAACTGAAGTGTTCTGTTGTAAAACAGGCACTTGTTGTGCCTGAAGGAAAGCTGTCTGTTCATGCTGCGGCAAACACTGAGCAGCGTTTAGTGGGCGGTTAACATCCTGTGGAGTAACGGGTGTTTTAGAAGTCTGTCCTGGGTACTGCACATTAAAAGGAATATCACCCTCTGACACACTGCTGTTTTCCAAACCAGAAAGCATATCATCCTGCTGGTCCATATCCGAAGATCTTACACGAGACAGTCTTAATGTAAGCTTAGTGGAGTCCTTGGAAGGAGAGCTAATGATATCATACATTGCAGCTTTTTCAGTCTGGTCTTTTTCATCCTTGCCTAACTTCATTTTCTTTTGTTTCTTTTGCTTTCTTTCTGGAGAATCTAACAATATGTCTGGGGGAACATCTCTAGGTGATGAATAAGGTGGAGGCTGAGATTGTTGGATTAAAGGTTGTCTTGATCCTAGAATAATAATTCAGAAAAACTGAACAGTTATGTTGTTTCATGTTTATATAAAAACACACTAAATATAACCTGCATACTTTTAATGTGTATCTCTACAAATAACTGTGCTCACAAAAGGTCTAAATAAGATTGGTAGGAAGCACATCATCACCAGATCAAGATGCAATCTAGATAGTTGCAGTGTATTTCCTAGGAATTTTAGCTATCCACTGCAAGTAGAGAAGGGATCATTTCAGAGAAGACGGAACAAAAAAAAACCCACCACCAAAAAAGAATAAATAAAAATAGTACCTAAGGTTCAGAATATCAGCTATTAGAAAATGATCAACAAAAGCAAGCTGATGGCAGAAAAAAGGAAAGATCAAAAAGATTCTTATTAAGGTTCAGTGATGAAGACTTAATGATCAATATATAGGCACTAGCCATTTCAGCCACACATTTTTAATTAAAAAAACCCCAACAAAACAAAACCAAAACATACACAACCTCCTTAACTTGGATTCTGACAGTTATTTTAACTTTTTTCTTTCCTTTATTTTTTTAAATTTTATTTTATGTGAATTTATTTCAACCTCTCCCACCCATTACTATCTAGGAAACACGAATTATCTAAAGGCATCTTTCTCCATTCCCTGCCTTGTCTCCCCTCCTTTTTCGTTTAATGTATGAATTTTTGCTTCTATATGCACTCTTTCCAGGATTTGAGGGTATCTACAGAAATTTTAAAGAGAGGACACTTCTAATTAAATAATTTCTCCAATTAATTACATTTGAAGTTCTAATTCCTCTAATGAATCAGCTTCCTGTAACTGTTAGCCTAGAAAAAAAGTCCAAAAAACAGAGAAGCTTTTCAACCTGTCTCAATTATAATTTTGAGCTATAGTTCTGGCTTAGAAGGGAATACTGTGCAAGGTGGGGAACACACACAGACTCCTCTTCTTAAAGGAACCATTCAGATTCCATTCACCCATTGGGGAATACTCATCTCCAGAAAGCAGTGACTGATATTATGATATTATTATTAGTCATTCTGGTCAGGTCATCATAGGTTAGCACTTCTAGCAACAAGCAAAAATTAAGTGGGATACAGGTCCTGTGTGCTTCATTCAAGAAACACCACTAAACAAGAAAGAAGCTTCACTCCGCATCCTAAATTTCTACCCAATATTTCTGGGATTAAGCAATGTACCAAACCGTAGATGAAAAAACGGAATGGTTATCTCTGTCGAAGCTTCAATTTACATGAAAAGTGTGCTTTTACTGATGGCCTCTTTGCACAGACTGCTATGCTTTTGTCTCCCTAGACCATTCTGTGAAAGTGTCACTTCTGTATGCAATGAGCAGGGTATCACATGGGTTTATCTTAATCTTTCTTGGCCCTTAGCAACAAATCCATATTCTGTCAATAACATCCACAAAGCTGGAAAGCCCTGTTTTGACTCATCCCAATTTTCAAAACAGTTCTACTACTCTACTTCCCTTCCTCAAATCAGATACTACACTCAACCACCAGTACCAAAGTTCTCACTACACCCTAAGAAGATTTCTCCCTTGCTTTTCAACAGATTCCTATTCTTGTTATGCTCCTCCCCACAACTACCATGTCTTTGGGTAATTTGAAATACTAAATATAATGTGTAGCAGGAATCCTTAGCTACTAATTTTTTTTAAGGTAATGACTACCACTCAGGAAGTACAAGCTGCAGGATATTTCTACAAATAGTAGAGGCAACTCAGAACTTTTCAAAGAGATATTACAACATCTAATCTTGATTTATCTCTTATATGAATACTTTTAAAGTTGCAACAATGGAACACTTACTATTTTTCAGAGTTACACATCTAAACACGGGGACAGACTTTATTCTCCCTAGTCCTAGCTTTCTAGATAAATATGACAATATCTGATTTGGTATTTTTTGGCATTTCTCATGTTGAAAAGTAAGACTGCAGCAATAGATAAAGTGGCTCTTTTTATCTTTGAGTAGACTTCAGGAGGCCAGAAGGATTTCACTGCATTCCATTGAATAGTCTTAGAATCCAGTAAATGAAGAAACAAAAGGAAAGTTTTGCCTCTCCTAGGCAGCACTACGAATAAGTATTTGAAAATATCTTCCTCCTAAAGGAAATTCTTGAAACGTTTTGATTGTAAGGCCTATAAGTGGCATTTTAAAATAACATGTTCCAGCAATAACTTTACCTATTTCTGAGATGTTTAATGATGGTTAAGCCTCTGACAACAAGGAGGCTCAGAAGCTACAATGCCTATGTATGGAGGTGAAAAGAAACTGAAAAATATGAAGCATTCTTGAACAGTTTCACTCTATCACAAACCTTAGCAGTTTTGAACAGATATGACACAATGGACACATAGCACATTCTGAGACTTCAAATAAAAGCCAGCACAGTACCCAGGTGGCCAAGAAGGTCAAAGGCACCTGGCCAGTATCAGCAATAGTGCAACCAGCAGGACCAGGGCAGTGATTGCTCCCCTGTACGCGGCACTGATGAAGACACATCTTGAATGCTTTGTTCAGTTCTGGACCCCTCACTACAAGAAAGACACTGAGGTGCTGGAGCATGACCAGAGAAGGGGAAGAGAGCTGGAGCCAAGTCCAGCAAGGAGTGGCTGAGGGTGTTTATCCTGGAGAAAAGGGAGTTCAGGGAGACCTTAACACTCTCTACAACCACCTGAAAGGATGTTGTGGACAGGTGGGGATCAGCATATTCTCCCAGACAGCTAAAAGAAACAGCCTCAAACTGCACTAGAGTAGGTTCAGGTTGGACCTCAGGAAGAATTTCTTCACTGAAGGGATGGGTAGGCATTGGAATGGGCTGCCCAGGGAGGTGGGGAGTCACCATTTCTGGAGGTGTTCAAGAAACGAGTACGACACAGCACTTGGTGCTAGGGTTTAGTTGACATGATGGTTTTTCTTTGAAGGTTGGAACAGATGATCTTGGACATCTTTTCAACCTCAATAATTCTATGAAAACTACACCCATTATACAGAGAGAGTCTATTTTGTCTGTTAATGGTGGAGTCAGTCTGGAGTATTTCCTATGGGAGAAGTCTTGGGCCACTATATGTCTAAGTATCTTTACCAAGACTAGATAACAGGAAAAAAAACCCCAAAACTTAAAGAATACAGAGACAGTTATGAGTTTGCTGAATCAGTTGAGATTCCAAGATTGAGAAGGTTTGTTCTACAAAATGCTGTCAATGCAGTAACTAATATACAAATCTTCAGAAACTAACTTTAGGAAATAACCAAATTTCTTATTTTAGAACAGAGAAATATTTAGACAACTTTTGAGTCTAAATCTAGGGCTGGGCAGTAATTCAGGAAAAAAAGAAATCTGACTTTCTGTAGTTGATTTTCCATAGATAGTATCATTAAAAGAACTTTGTGTGTCTTTTTATATAGCAGGCAAGTTAAAAGGAGGTTCTTCCCTGATTCAGGAAGGTCACTGTACCATTACTAAACAGCAAATATTGATAGTCAACCAGATACGACCAAACATAGCTGAGAAGCAGGTACCATCATAGGAAATGAGGTCTCTACAGAGAACAAACATAACCATCAACAGTACCTTCTCCAGTCCTTCAGCAACAGTCTTTCGACCACCCATGATAATCTTAGGGCCGGTTCTCTACATTTCTTAATTCTTCTATTGGTTCCTAGTGGTAGATGGTACTAAGTATGGAAGTTTTATCAACTGTAGTAATTTCAAAACCTTTTTTTTTTTGTGATTCTTGAAACGTATCTTATCAAATCCTATATAATGCAATCAACTATAAAAATAATTTAATTGCATTGACAGAGACTTGGCCTTCTTTAAAATGTAAAGTTTTGAATACACTTCTGGTTTATTTACCCTGGCTATACTCGCTCACTGTGTATCACTAGCTTGGATAGCAAACAAAGAAGCTTCTGTCCAGGAGACTGCACATGACACTGACATCTCCATCTTACGGTTTTGTCTGTACTTGCTAATCACACCACAATACTCACAACTTGTTTAAGTACTCATGATACCTCCTCTGATCATCTCTAAGCCTCTTCATGTCACTTGCCTTTCAAAGATGATGCAGCAAACACACACCACTGTTCACACTCTCTGTTGTGATTCACATGGTTTAAAAGCATTTATTAAGGTTATCAGGAAGTTAGAACTCACTTATTTTTCAGTATTAAAAAAAATATTTCCTTTCCACTTGTACAATAACAAGTTCCAAAGGGTCACATGAAACAGTGTCTTCATATTCCTTTAACTCCCTTATAGGCAAAGGTTCTCAGATGTTGACAAAAGCCTTTCAACAATTCCACACCCTGTTTTGCCAGAAGAATCATTCTCTAAGCATGAAAGCTGGATAAACTTCTAGAGAACAAATGAAGACTAATATTTAATACTTGGTTCATAGCACATTGGAGAGAAACTTAAAGAATGTTCAAGTGCTTTTTTAAATTCATAGGAAACTGATCTTCCACACTCTTGGAACATGATTTAAATAGGTACCAAATTGGTGTATAAAGCCTTTGAAAAGAGAGGCTTTAAGAAATGTGTATGTGCTGCATGTGAATGATTAAGATTTCACATATGAGTAATCACACTGTAAACAGGTTCCTAAGGGCAGAAGTTGGAGAAGAGAACCAGAGCATTCACATTGTCACAATGACATTTGTCTGTTGGAAAAGCTAGGAACTTCATGATTATAGAACCTAAGGAACACATTATTACCAACAGCTTTCAAGAGACTGCAGTTAAAATGTGCAAATGAAGTGTGTCTTTTTTAATCTTTTTTTTCTTAACACGATCTTACTTACCACCTTCACATAAAATGAGAATTTTCATAAAAATGGGATCAGACAAATTCACCCTGAAACTCTGGTTAAAGCAGTCTCAAAATTGGTAATAATCACTTTGAGAATTTTTGCCTCCAGTAGACTTAAAAAGGGAAGAACAGTCCCTTCAAAAGGATGGTAAAGGCCTACCCAGAGTATAACACATAGTCAGTGTGATTCAAGTGCATACTAGAACAATTCTTCTGTAAGAACTGAGATAATGAAGAAATGGTTTTCCAAAAGAAATTCCTTAAGAATAAGTATCATCAAATCTTGAAGATAGTTAAGTGCCGTATCTGGACTCTAGCATGGCTTTCTATATAGCCTCTCATAATAATTTCACTAACAAGCTGAAGAGCGTTAATCTAGTGTAATCTAGACAAAAATATGTTGATTATTGTAAACCCTGCTGTGAAGCTATGTTCACACAAATTCAATTTTTCTTAATAAAAATGGAGTGAGTATATGTGAACAAGTGCAGCTTTCCAGAGCACTGTCATAAGAATAATAGTTTAAAATATTTGTCATTAATATCTTCTCATGTAAAAGAATTAGAGACTATTTTATTAATCTAAATATCATTACTGCTTTTGATTTTAAGTCTTTAAGAGGCTAACCCCTGCTTTTAAAAATAGAATCAAAAGTTTTCTTGACTAGTTTGAATAACTTTCTGAGACAAAACAAATTCAGTGACAAGAAGCACAAACTTCTTATTTATCTGTGAATTGCAAACCATAAGAAGATAGACAAGCTCTATAGAAAGAAAGTAGAATGCTTAAAACAACTTGCAGTATAAATCTATCTATGACTTACGACAGCAGAACATCAAGACATATGCAGACCAATTAAAAGTCAGTTAAAAACACCAAAGACAATTGGAAACTGAGAAACGATGACTTACATAAAGGTAACAGAAACTGTGCTGTTCAGTTTGCGGATTAGATTAGTGAAAGACACGATAAAGTTCTTTGATATGTAAATGTCTGATGTAAAAAAAAAAAAGGATGTGGTCTGGTTTTCTTTACACATTGGAAGGAAGTCATGAAGCATCATGACTAACTGCAACAAAAATTATTCAGGTTAAGCATTAGGAGCTTTCTAACACTAAGAATTTGAATAACTTCTATGGCAAAGCCAAGGAAACTCTGTTACTGACATTTTAAAACATATGGAAGTTACTGAGAGTAGTACTGCTACAGCTCAGCCAACGTGAGTGTAAAAAGATGGCAAGACCTCAAGCCCTTTCCTGCAGCTTCTTCTAAAATCCTAGAATCTTCCTCTGGAAAGCTCACCAAATTTTGCATTAGGTATAAAGAAAATGCTACCTATTTTGATTAGCAGACAACAATGACACCTATTTTCAAAGACCATAACTTAATTTAAAATTCAAACTTAAAGGGATAGCATATGAGACAGATAAAGAACATACATTTGAGAAGTCTTTAGGGACAGATTTTATTCACTTTCCATATCCTCTTCCAACAGTTTTCAGAGAAGAGTCCCACCACTCTACCCAGTGTTTGAAATGCCTCGTGAAAACTCAGCTTTGGCTGTTCTACCTGTACTCACAGCCTTCCTGCATAAAAAAATTTAGACTTGAAGAAAGAAACATGAATTAATGTTTATTTTGGTGCTATCAGAAAAAAAAAATCATTGAATAAAGTTCTTCTGCGATTCTTTTGAAGGAGAGAAGGGAAGATGGCATTTTTTCTTCACAAGTAGCACTGAAGAAAGAGTACTCAAGTCTACACTATGGATTTGAGAAGATTCCTAATTAATCTTATCTATTCTATATTCAGACACCAAGTGTAGTGCAATCTGACTGGAGAAACTCCGTGAAACCCTAAGAAAATAGATGTGATCTTTCAAAATTATTCAGAAAATAATAAAATATTCATCAACAATTTCTGGAGGGAATACAACCTATTTGTGAAAAAGAGTGCAAAATTACATAATTTCTAAGAGTTGTTGCTAGTCCTTACAGATGTACTTACAGAAGTATTTAGGCAATTGTATGGAAAAAGGACTGTAGATTATATGAACACACCTCTTCATAAAGCAGTGGATTAAAAACATTATGGAAGCCTTTCCTTAATCTAACTCTTCAGACGATGCCTCAAGAAAAAATTAGGAATTGAAATAATATGTGAGGTTCCATAGCAGTAGGAAAGTAGAACAAATGGATAAAATATTCTGATGAGTAATCAATCTTCAGTAATGGAATCCAGGGGATATTTTATGAGGTCAACAAGAGGAAAACACTCCATGATATTCCATACTCTGTACACAGACTGAGTTCTTAAAAAGTCATCCACTGGCACCAGATGACAGCTTGAAAAGAGAGGCATTATGATGTTTCCATGGCTATAACCAAAAAAATTTTGGGATTAAACTTCAGCTGCTCTTGTACCTTTAGTGAAGCAGAAGTGAACACAGACAGTGAAATTTTATTCCACTGATTAAATTAATAATCACCCAAAACACAAAAGTATGTCCTGCCATCTCTCAAATATTTGCCTATGCTGCCTATGCATTTCTCCAGAAGTCTTGTAACCTTTGGTAAATGCCTCAAACCTCTATGTTATGTAAGAAAGCTCCGGCATTATAACAACCTTCCTGAAATTTTCCCCTGATTATGATTAGTTACACCTTTTGCCATTCTTTTTGTTCTTCCAGACAAATGGTAAGTATTTTGCGCATTTTTCTTTATCAAGGTTTGTGACCTAGTAACCAAACTTGCAGGGACTAATAAGAGAGCAACAAAAAGCTCAGCATAAATACTTGTCATATTCATCTCAACTTTCACTAAAAATCATGGGCCAAAAATTCTCTGTAGGGGATCCTGTGTTCTTAATAGCACTGACATTATTTACAACTCTTCTATACGTTTCTAAAATACTAGATGGAGCATCAAGAACTGGTTCTCTCAATCAGGGTTCATTAATGTCTTAATGAGGGCAAAATGTCAACACCATTAGCAGCAGTATTTCAGTTGTGCAATTTATCAAAGGGAAAAGTAAAGTTAACATAGAGATACATCAGAAAGTTCCTGCACTTTAATGCTAATGCTGAAACATTATAATCTGAACTATACAACCAGTCTTTAATGCTAATGCTGAAACACTATAATCTGAACTATACAATCAGTCTGTTTTCAGAAATAGTCTGTAAAGCTATCCCTTCAAAAACGGTTTCTGAGACAGCCAATTGAAACAACAGCAACTTTAACAAAAAAAATTCAAACATTGTCTGAGTGGTAATAACATATATAAGTGGGTTAACTTAGATCCACAACCTTGTTAAACCTATAAACTTAACAAAGAGTGAAAAATAACCAGATTTACACAAGCCTTATGGGAAGTCCTTTAGAACAAGATATCCTGAAATACTGATGCTCCTGGCATCCTATACACATACTTCTCACTTACCACCTGAACCATAGGATAATTCAGTTAGGAAGGAAACTTGGGAGATGTTTAGTTCATCCTCATGCTCAAAGCAGGGTAAGGCAGGGACACATCATGTCAGGTTTTATCCACCCTGACCACGAAAACCCCCAAGTACAGAAAACACACAGATTCTATGGGCATCCTTTTCCACTGCTTGACTGTCCTGATAGTGAAAAAGTTTTTCCTTAGATCTAGTTGGAACCTCCTATTTAAATTTAAGTCCATTGTATTCCATCCTTCTTCCACAGCGATGAAAAGACTGACTCAGATCTTCCTGATAATCTCCTCATAGGCATGGAAATACTGCCCTGAGGTTCACCCCTGATAAACATGTCTTTTATCCAGGGTGCATAATGCTTTCACCTTTTCTGTAATCTCCACCATCTTCTGTTCTCTTCTCTGTCTAAACTGATCACCCAGTAAGACTTACATTTTTGTTTCAGGTCTACAGAGAAGAAAGCACTGTTTCATTTTTCAGTTATTGCCCTGTAAATGTACAATCACTGAAAAAGAAAATTAACAAGAATATGTCCCAACCCCTACCTTACCAAGTGGATTTTAGTATAAAGAATTATTTTGAGCAAACTTTTTTTGTTTCCTCTCAACTGACAGACAGTTCACCCTATACCTCTCCACAGCTAAAGTTTTCAGGCTTCATTTATGCTATGCGTATTGAGCTCATTTATTTTAATATCTTTAATATTTCATTATTGTAATTAAGACAAGTGCTGGATATTAAAACACTTTAGAGCTGGTTAAGGGTTCAATACTCGTAATGCTGCCTTTAAAACTTTTCTTATGTAGAGCAACTGAATTCTTATATAGAATTTAATTCTCAGATTGGAAAGGATTTTAAATCCTTCTGTCCTCCATAAGTTTGAGTGTTATTTTGAAAGATCATCAGTTAATTGTTGGACCATCAGAAATTTCTTCTGGATCAGGGCTCAAAATAATTTTGCATCCAAAACATAATGCCATAGCCTGCAGTACTAGTTAAATAAAAAACTCAGGACGAAAAACTGAATACCTCTTTAAATTCTCTGTTCTTTAAAACTGGGAAAATTGACATATATATGACTGCTAGACTACCTTTAAGGGCTCCATCACTTCCAGCTGGAGAGCAGACTGACTGTGGTGACCTCAAGGAAAAAGACGCAGCATTCCTTATTGAAGGATCGCCATCCTAAAGAAAGAATGATAAAAAAGTTAACATATGACCATAAACATCTGTTAAAATAAAACCTGAAATTAGTAAATAAATTGATAAAATGGATTGGGCAAAAAAGCATACAAGAAATACTAGAAAAAGAGTCACTTTCACTAAAATCTTTGTTAATTTAGACTGCTATTAGACTATAATATAAGCAATGCTCCAATCAATGTTAAGAGGAATCTGTAACCAGAACAGGCACACAAAAAAAACTATTTGTCTATGTTTTCTAGCTAGACAAACACTTTTGGGTTTACACTAGAATTCCATTTAGAATCTTTTGTTGCAAGTACTTGTAGTAAAGAGCTGTAGAGCACTTGCATGACGTATATACTATACCATTTGAAAGAAATAGGGTATAAAATGTGGATTATTAAAACTCCATTTTTTCATAATCTACCCTTAAAAGATTATCTAGAATGCTATCCTGCTCTTATAGTTCAACAAACTAACACTTTGTATCTGTATCCTCAGCATGGGGAAGCCAGAACTGAACAGACTCTCTAGCAGTCCCATTACAGCAGCTGGGTTAGTCTCATGTAAAACACAGCTAGAGTGATTTTAGCTTGCAAGAGTTAAACAGGAAACAACTCAATGGCAATATGAAGCACTTTCCCACCCTTCTCCAAAGCAATTAATAATTTCTGACAAACTTTTTCATAATATAATATTAATTGCAATGTAATTATGCCCATGCTCTATTTTTAGCAATGTAAATGTATATTTTTTACCCCCACACTATCCTTATATAGAATGTGAAATGCACCATTCCAATCTCCATTCAGAGTTTTACATGGGTTTTTCCAGTGCTTTTGTGGAGCCCTCTGCTGTTCACAACTACTCATTCACGCAGTCCCCTAATTAAACTTCAACTATAGAATGGTTATTTTCCCTTTTCAACTAGTGTTTTTTATACAGCATGTATGAGAATGTTTGGGGTAAGGAAAAGCTAGCAAATCCTGTATCTATGAAGAGAAAATTTCTATAATTACAAACAAATTCTAAAAATTTCATTCTTCCAAAAGGTACAGTGATACAAAGGAATGAAGTCTCCAGTTATTTCATGTTTCCTAATTAAATTGGTTATTTCAGTAGTTAACATTCTAATGTGGCTCTTCTTAAGGTAACTGTATACAGGCAATTTTTTCACATATCCATTTCTTTCCTTTATTTTTTTAATCTGAATTATCTGTGTGATAAATACTTCTTAACCTTTTGATCAATATGAACCCAATTAACAGAATGTTAAAAGGTTTAATTGTATTATGTTTTTACATGTCTGCATGAAAGAAATCAGCACCCAGTAGTGAGATAGAAAGCAAAATTGGTATTTCAAGGAGATAGCAGCTTGCATAGGTGGACAATCACACTCTGACAGTGGCCAAACAGCCAAATTCCTTCCAAGTGTGTAGCCATAGACTAGGCTGTGCCTTATGAAGGAGTAGATGACACTGCTAAAAGGGAAAGAGTTTGAGGTTATGGACTTAAGGTGATTACAACTCCAAGAACACAAATCCATAAGAGATCAGATTTCATCAGTTTTACCACCTATGGGCCCTTACCACAACTATATTAGGTTTTTTTCTTTCCATTCACAACACAATAAACCTGAACTTACACTGTAGTGTTAATTACAATTATTTTTTGCAAGAGTGCTTGCAAAAAGAGTTGTTGCCTTCTGAGGAAATTCTCACGGGCAAAGGAGTTTAATATTCAGAACACCACAATAAAGTGAGTTCCAGATCAAAAGTATATGATGCTATTTTAAGCGAAACTGAACTGATATTCTACTGAGTTACTAATTTAGCTACTGCACTGAAATTATGGAACTGATATTTTTTTTTTCCCAAACTGACTTTTCTTTGACTTGTAATAAATCTCAGAAACACACCCATATTGAAAAATAAGCTTAATAACTTCTTATTGGGTATGTTTTATTAAGTCAGTAGAAGATCTTTAACCACAATCATCAAAGACACAGGCAAAGACAATTTCTACTAAATTAACTGAACAGACTAACTCAGTATACGACATTTTGGGTAGACATGTCATTCCTATCATAGCTGACAAATTTTCAGAAACGTGCATTTATACTTTCTTAGTTTGGCGCTTCACCAAATGATGAATTATATTCTAGGAATGCTATCAAGTTTACCAAAAATCGTCCTTAAATTGAATGAATGTGCAGTGACACATTAAGGGTACATTGAGGGGATACTTGCTGATTTTGTATTTCACAGAAACATGATGTATTAAAGCAATTATGCTTTATGTTTTGTATATGAAGCAAAACATTTATGTAAGCATTATGTTTTAAAGCAACAAGATCCTAAAATGAATAAAAATAATTTAAGTTCTTGAGTTTTATGATTCTTAAAATACTCATTCATAAAGGTCTGCAACATTGTAATTACTATTCATACAGAGATGCAAAACTTGAATCAATATTCTTCAAATTGTTTTCTGCATCATAGCTTCTAAAATCTGCTTTAAAAGTTATAATTACAAATAAAACATAGGTAACACAAATGCACCATTAAGAAAGTGCACAAGTGGATAAAAACGCACTTTTACAACATTTACTACTTTCTATGTCTAGCATTTTTCCAATTAGACCAGCCAATGAGGATGTACTATGTTTTCATAGTCTGTCAATTTTCAGGTGAGTCTATACGTCTGAAATTGAATTCTATCCTCAGTGGTTTTATTCCTCAACAGCATTATAAAATATCTGACTTCTAAGTCAGTTAAACACATACTTGCTTCATCACAGTAAATATCTGCTTTATCATAATAAATTGATTGATTAGGTAACATACATCACTACTGAGTCTGTGCACCATCTGTAGGTAGTCTTCATTTGAGCCATGTCTAGAATTATCAGCATGGTGATTAGCTGAATTTCCAGACAACTGACTTGAAACTTTATTTTCATGGAGATTCCTCATCCCAGCTGTGACAATGGGACTGGATACGGAAGCTGGAATACAAAAAAATTAACTATATAGATACAGTCGTGCAGTCACGAAGTTGAAAAGATTCAGAGAAAAGACCCACACGATAGATATTAAAATGTTGGATGCAAGAGGTCTGGAATCTGAACAAGAATCCAACTTGCTCCAAATACCTTGATTAAAAACAAATTATCTAAGATTTTTCAAAAGGATTTAAAATATTAATTCCATGTACAAATTAGCCAAATTTCTCTCCATATCTATTCTAATTATAGTCAGTATTTTCCTTACTGATCGCAGAAAACTTTATTTACTTCTATATAACTTGAACTCACTGCCTTAGTAACTTTCAAGGTATTCATGACACATATAACATTACTTATAAAATAGCTGATATATATTCTATTTATGTGATCTACATATATTTAAGAAAAAAATATTTAAAAGAATCCAGTAGAATTCTACCAACAAAAAAATGCCCTAGATACCTTAATACTGATTGTGTTTTCAGGATTGTTTTCAGACAAGGGAAGAACAAAAATTCTTTTGTTCTGAAGGTCATCTTTGTGAGTTACTGCATATCTCGAGCATAATCCTAGCCAATTCAGAATTAATCTGACACTAAAAGGGGCCAGTAAGGCTAAAGAATCTCTAAAGTTAACTTTAGTTAATCTAAATTTAAAAAAAACTTAACTTTTCATTGGCAGAAATGAGGTTTTCCCTAGTACATGTAAATGATGTTCACAGCTAACAAATACAACTTTTGGGTTGTTCAGATTATTTTCATTGTCACATATACAGGGCAACAATGCAAATTGGACATATGGGAGTATTGCAACATTAATGTGTTTTACTTTTCCTTCTTTTGTTTAATTTTTTTAAAACAAAGTAGATGCCACTACTTTTTCCAGCCAAAAAATCAAAGCTTATACATACCCGCCTCAAATATTTGCATTAAGCATGTGACTCCTTCAAAGAAATTAGAAACTGAAATGTGCACATGAAAGCAAAGTTGACATGAAATAGGAGAATACAGTAAACATCACAGACTTACCTTGCTGCATTTGAGGATGAGCTGTATAACTCGGAGGATGTGAATATGGCATGTATCCTGCAGGACTTTGAGGAGCATATGGACTAGGCACTGGACTGTTCTGTTGTGCCAAAAATCTGTTACCAGAGCTTGTCTGTGGTGGCACAAACCGGCTAAAAAGAAAAAAAAATTGCAAAAAATTTTAAAAATTTGGAATAGCAAATATAGAGAAATTAATTATTTCTATTCAGATTCATTATTTCATCTTTTCAGAAGATGAAAATTTCTTTAAGATAAAAAAGCCTCCAACACAATTGAGAACTTCCTTCAAAAGCAGTATTTTAAGCTATCTATACTTTCCTAACTGCACATGTTACTGAATAGTCAGAAGGAAATAAAAAGCATTCACAAGACCTCCATCTAGGGAAGGGAAACAATGACACAAATATGTATGGAAATTAGATCTGCAATTTCCTAAAGTTAATTTCAGAAGTTTGAATGAAAGTGACAGAAAAAGTTTTAATCAACTTGGTCACTAGGATTAACAAGGAGCCATTTACTCTTTCTTTACTTTTCAGTAAGTTTCCAAATAACTGCATCTAACAGAACTATGCTGTCAAGATACAGGAGTGTTATAGGCAGTTAGGTGCGGCCTGACCCAAGTCCACTGAACACAACTTTCTCTTTCATTGGCTTTATCTTAGACTCGTTCTACAGGTAAGAAGCCATAAAAATAACATTGACTTGTGGCAATAATACATGCACATTATTACTTACATTCTTACATCAGTTTCTCAAAATTAAAATAACCAAATAAATACATCAGAAAGTACATTACAAACTAGCACAACTCCAAGTTCTAAGCAGGAACTCCATAAAGGTAAGCTTCAATAGAAAGAAACAGCAAAGTACTTAACACAAGGATTTTGCAAGGACTTCAAGAGAACTTTGTACTATTCATTGTAATATTCAAAATTCAAACAACCTTTTTAGATATTCCTTTTAGATATAAAAGTTTAAAAGTGTGCTGGTTTTTGTGAAGATACAGAACATTTCATTTTCTAGTTACAGTAACTTGAAGTGAGACCTGAAAACAGTTTATTTTAAGAATGATATCTAATAACTGAAGATGAGACGTGTTAAAGCCCAGTACCTGGGTTGCAACTACAAGCAGAACTCTCTCCTCTTGTCCAGAGTATTTTAATATATTAATAAAAACCTAAATTATAGCTAAATGCTACTTGCAAACCCTCAAAAACTTAAAAATCCAGAAATCTGACAAAGATTCTGCTGGAAGACTGGCCAAACTACCAGGCCTATCTTTCTGCAAGAAGCTTTTTCATAACTGTTACAGTCATACATGCTTTTATAAATCTTCTTTCCCATCATTCTGCTAAACCAGTACTGGGACAAGCTGGAACACACCAGCCTATTCTGTCCTATCCTCTTGCCACCAGTGTCAGCCTCTGACATCGGCAGAAGACAGCCAGAGGGTAACAGGAGGCAGAGGGACTCCTTAGGCAGAAAAGAAAGTTTGGCCAAATTATGGGATGGAGTGAGAGAGAGGAGAATTCATGATGAATCCTTAGAATACAGGGATTAGTTCACCGACAGGAAGACATTTCTTTGCACACGAAGAAACTTACCCTGCTATCAGACAAATGCCAAATTTGTCATGACATTGACCATCTTCCATTTACATTTTGCAACAAGAATTGGCTGTCAATGTAGGAACAACTTATAGTTCACTCCTTTCCCACCCTACTTAAAAGAAAGGATTACCTGGAAGGGCTATGTGAGATAGTGGTTTGTTGATAATTGGAAGATGCAGGACTACCACGCATGGAATTCTGAGAAATATTAAACTGTGACATCATCATCCCTATTAAGAAAAAAGATAACAGCATTACCTTACACACATTTCCTTTTCAATCAATGAAGTATGTAATTTCAGAATTTTTTACATACAATGAGATTATGAATGTTATTCACATTATAAAATTTGTTGACATTAAGATCATCTACCCACAACTGCTAAAAAAATTAGAAATTACTGAATCCATGTACAATGTCCATTTTACATCATGACATAAAAAAAGTGTTCTTTAAAGTTGTGTTAATTCAGTTACAAATATTAACAGTAGTTTTTTCATCTCTTCCTTAGAACTTCTTAAGTCAAAATCTACTAGTAAAGAGAAACATTTTAAATCATGACATATATTCTGCACCCCAGGCTGGTGTGTACAATACTTGTTGTGCTAATAAGCAAAAGATTTCGCAGATTCACAAGTCAGAAGAACACAAAACTTATCTTCAGTTGTTGGAGCACCTTTATAGCAGTCATCCTGGGTTGAGTGCTGCAAGATATTCTCCAATATATATGCTTCAATAATATTTAGTGGTCTCTTTCTACCCAGAGACAATAGCTTTCTATTCCATCTCCATTAAGCATAGAGGGAATGTTATCAACAAAGATGCTGAAATATTTTAGTTGCAAAGCAAAACCAATATCCCAACTGTGACTCCTACATCTCATAGATAATCACAGTCAGGTGTTGGAAGTTCAGGTGTTGAACCAGCTGGCAAGCCACGTGCATCAATGTTCTTAAAACAAACATTCAAGAGGCATTTGGACAATGCCCTTAATTTGACTGAACTTTCAGTCAGCCCTGAAGTTGTCAGGCGACTGGGTTAGATGATCAAAGTAGGTCCATTCCAACTGAAATATTCTATTCTATTCTGACTCATATTGTTATAAAGGGGAATTTATAGGAATTTTCTTTTTCCTCTCTTCAATACAGGAATAAAGAATATCCCAACAACTACATGACAAAGTGACTGGAGCTCTAACGTGTCTGGCAATAGTGGAGTCACTTAATTTAAGGCACGATAGTCCACAGTCAGTCTCCATTCTCCTTCAGACTTGCATATAGGTCAAATGGGCTGTTGAAGGGTGAGTGGGTTTTTGCTTTGGCTCTTTAGCTTACAGATTATTTTATGGATGGGAATCACATAATTGTTCTGTACTGCCAGCAGTGCACTGTCAAAGTGTCAATTGTATTTGTTGCTCTTCCACCTTCAGAAGTCTTATTGCAGATGGGTTTTCTGATAGTTTAGGCAAGGTGTTCAATTGTTTGATGCTCTCTGTCTTTATAGGTGCTATCTTAAATGTCCACCTGAGTTCCTTTGGATTTTTGAAATACTCACTTTGGAGGAAATCTATGTCTAAATGCATGGGGCTTTTGGGCTAGTCACAATAGGGTGTTTCTTCCACTCAGTTCTAGTCAGGCTCACTTCAGTGCTGTCCAGAATTATAGCCTCGCCTGCAGCATCCCAAAGATGGACTAACCAACTAATTATGGGTTCATCAGGTCGTCGAGTGTAATCTTTTCTTAGGCTATGAAGGTTCTTCAGGGAAAAGGACTCAATAGTGACTTTTGATCTTGTGTCAGTTGCTTTGACTTCTGATTTTGTGTCAGTAGCTTTAACTCTGACTTCTGTGTCAGGAATTGGCATTGAGGGTCCTTCCCCTGGATCATCATCATTGATCACTGCCTGATCGGTTTTGCTTGTGTACTTCTTTCCTGCAGTGACTGCCGGTCTCACTGTGACTGCTTAGGCTCACTGTCTGGTTTAGCTGTGGGCTTGGGCTTACTGTCTGGTTTAGCTACAGCCTGAGTAGCTGGTGTGTTGGCTGCAGCCTGAGTGACTGGAGTAGCTACTGATTCATCTCTCTGCCCCCCTGCCTCTATCTGCTGCCCTACAGTATCTAATACCGTGCAATAAGCATAGGCCAGGGCCCAGCTTACTGCAATGATCTTTTTTTCCTTCGAGTCATTATGGCAATTCTCTTCCAGATATTTCCCCACCTCCTCTGGGTTCTGAATTTTTTCACATGAAAATTCTTAGGCTGGGGGATCAGAAAATTCCTGCAGGATTGGACCCATTCTCTCCTATTTTCTACAGCACTGGATCTACACGTGAATCTGCTTCTGGGTTAGGGGTCTCATTAACTCCTCTGGACAACTCAGCCCCCATTCTGGAGGAGCTGTAGGCTGTATAGAGGAAGCTTACTAGATTAAATACCAGGAAGGTGGTTCCTTTAACATTCAGGAGAAACTGAACATTCTGAAAAAGTGAGTTAAGAGATTCAAAAGAGAAGGAAAGGGAAGACTGAAAAGCTTCATCCCCTGCTTTTCTTCTAAGAAACTGGGTGCAATTACCAATGAACTGCCAAACATGCTACTGGAAATAGAATGCAGGGTAGGACGAGGAAACCATAAACCATAATTATCTTAAATAGACTCTAATACCTTAGTAAACTTCCTATATATCATTATTACCAAGCAGAGCACAATAGCTATTCTAATCTGTGCCCCTCTACTGTAAAAACTATGTGTTAGGGACAATACTGGAGCTATTTCCGGATAAGAAAGTAAGCCTATGGACTAGAAAGGTATTAAAACTTTAAAAAGCCTGGAGATCAGAAACACGTAAAAGCTTCCACCCACAGAGACATCATGAATTCAAGCAACATAGCTACTGATTGCTTTCTTCTGATACAGTGTAAGTACAACTAAAATACAGTCAGTACATGTTTTTTCCACTTTCTCGAGCCTCACTTTGGGCACCAAAAAATGTATTTGTCCTGGTTTAGGGCAAATTTGGGAGAAAACCTCTAAAGAGGCTGCTTTAGAATGCAGATTCAAACAGTACTCCCACCCAACTGGTTAGGGAAAATATTTCTTTAGAGAAAAGTGGAAAAAACCAGTTTATTTAACTTACAAAGCATTTGCCAGCACAAAAAAATGAACAATATTAAACAATAAAACCTCTCAGTGCTCTGAAGAGATGACGAACTCAGAAAGTTCCCTTCATGGGCTGTAGCTCGACTCACTCAGTCTCTTATCCGTCCCTGTGGCGCTGGAATGCCGCGTTCCAGCCCTGATGGGCCACAGGTGTGAGCTCCCTGTACCATTCTGGGTATTCAGTCCAGAGTAGGTTTGAACGGTTCCAAGAAAAAGAAAAGCCACAGTCCGAGGAACTTCTCTGCCTCAGCTAGCAAAAAACTGACTAAAAGCAAAGGAGAGCTCTGTCTGTCCGTGCTGCAGACAGCACAGTCCAGGAGGAGGATGCAGGGGAGCAAGTGCAGTTTCTGATTACAAACTCTGCACTTCTCTCCCCAACTTCGCTTTCAGAACCAGTCTTAAAGGTGCAAAACTTTTTTCTGGGTTAAACAGATGAATGGGGATACACACATCATGAAGTCACCCCAGGTCAATAGTTCATGCTGATATGGTTACATTATGTCAGCTTTCTATACAGGAATGTTACTTGTTTGGCTGAAATATTGTACACTGTGTTGAGAATGGCAATGAGTGGTGACGGGGCAGTGGGCATGCTGGGAGCTCCTTCCAGCATAAAAAAATCCCTGGGATTTCATGTTCACTTGCCTTTATGTGAGGCAACTGGCATCCATTTAAACAAATTTTGTAGAAGTTGAGAAGTCCCCATCTGTTACTCCAGGCACTGAAATCTATATTTTTTAGCCCAACACAGGACTTTAACTCCTGTTCAGGGCCAGTATTAGTGTGCTATAGTATTACTACATGGAAAGCAGCATTTGCCACCTACTGGGAAGTAGTAATGGCTTAATTCCTGCAGGATTATCACTGTCTCTGCTGGAGAAAGTAGAGGAGAAAAGAGGATGACAGGGAAGGTTTCTGAAACTAGTTTTGCATGTGTAATCATTGCAGTAATTGAAACTGGTGATAGCAACTGTAGGATTAACAAAAATCTTTCAACAATTTCATATTGAGGACTTTTGTCTAACCGTCAAAAATACTTGTACTATTAATGAGCTTCTACCTAAGGCTATAGATTATTTGCTGTGGTTTCAGACACGTGTTGCCAGACACGTTAGAGCTCCAGTATGAGCTGGAGTTCAAGGCAGTGAAGTGGTACGCCAGTATTGACATTGCTAACGCTATTTTCTCCATTCCTTTAACAACAAAACGCAGGGATTAGTTTACCTTCACGTAAAAGGGAATGCAGTACACCGAGAACTGCCCCAGGGGTGAAAGCACAGTCCTACCATCTGCCATGGACTAATCCAAGATACACTAGAAAAGGGTAAAGCCCCAGAACATCTGCAATACATTGTGTAGGAGACCACAGCAGCAGAAATGTTTGAAAAAGGAAAAAAAAAAAAATCATTCACCTTCTTCTAAAAGCCAGTTTCACAGTCAGAAAAAACCCAAAGCTAAGGGACCTGCTGAAGAGATCCAGCTCCTGAGAGTAAAGTAGCAAAATAGACTGCGTCAAATTCCCACTGATGTCTCAACAAGATCACAGCAATGTCTTCACTAACCAACAAAAAAGAAACTCAAGCTTTCTTAAGTGCTGTAAGTTTTTAGAGAATGCACATTCCTGAGTACAACCACACTGTAAGCCCTCTCTACCTGGTCACCTGGAAGAAGAACTTAGGGCTTTCCAGTGGAGCCCTAAACAACAACAAGCCTTCACCCAGATCAAGCAGAAAATCGCTCATGCAATACCCCTTAGCCCAGTCAAGACAAGACCAGATATAAGGAATGGGCCCTACTCTACAGCTGGAAGCCACAGTCTGCCCCAGAGCTTATAGCAGAAGGTCAATCTTAGCAGAAAGTCAATCTTAGTCAACCACTAAGATTTTAAAGTTGAAGCTACAGAGGGTCTAAAGCCAATTACACTCCAACAAAGCAAAAAGTTTTAGCAGCCTACAGAAGAGTCCAAACTATCTCAAAAGAAATCTGCACTAAAGCACAACTCCTGGTCCCTGACTAAGGTAGATGTTCAAAACAGAAGTTACCTCTATCAACCATGCTAGCAATGCCACACAGAACAAGTATAGTGCCTTAATCATACAGCACATCCATATTAGAAATCTAAATCACCCTGGGATTTTAGAGATAATTACAAATTGGCCTAAAAGTGAAAACTTTAGTCTCACTAATGAAGAGAAACAAGAAATAACATGGGCTAAAGAAGCTCGACCACACAATCAACTGCCAGCAGAAGAAACACATTATGCTTTTTTTACTAATAGTTCTTGTCGCATTGTAGGGATGAAACAAAATTAAAAAGCAGCTGTATAGAACCCAACACAACAAGTCACAAAATCTACCAAAGGAAAAGGCAGATCAAGCCAACTCACTAAACTCAAAGCCATTCAACTAGCCCTAGATGCTGCTAAAAGAAAGAAATAGCTGAAGCTCTACCTCTACACTAATTCACAGATAGTAGCCAGTGCTCTGTTGGGATAGTTAGAAAAAAAAAGCCAATTAACAGTGGAAAAGAAAACCAGTTTAGGCTACTAAGACTAGAAAGACATTACTACCAAAACATAGAAACTACGTATAAATGTCCGCCATGTAAATGCCCATGTCCCCAAGAGTAAAGCTAATGAGGAGCAGAAAAACAATCAACAGGTAAATCAGGCTGCAAAAATAAAAGTGTCAAAAACAGACTTAAATTAACAATACAAGAGAGAGCTGTTCCTAGCTAAATAGGCTCATGATGCCTCAAGTCATCAAAGTAAAGATGCCACTTATAAGTAGGAACAAGACCAAGGAGTAAATTTAACCACAAACAGTATTTCTCAAGTTATTCATGACTGTAAGACATTGTGTTGTGATCAAACAAACAAAGCAGTTAAAACCTCTATAATATAGTAGGCAATAGTCCAAACATAAGTATGGGGAGGCCTGGCAAATCAACTACATCACGCTGCCCCAGACACACCAAGGTAAGCAATACATGCTCACAACAATAAAAGCCACCACAGGATGGCTGGAGACCAACTCTGTGCCTCATACTATAATGCCTGTAACACCATTCTAAGCCCTAAGAAACAAATCTTTTAAAGGCATAGTACCCCTAAAAAAATTAAATCAGATAACAGGACTCATTTCAAAAACAGCCTTATCAACACCTAGACTAATAAACATGGCATTAAGTGAGTATACCCAAACCAGCTGCAAGCAAAATAAAAAGGTACAATAGACTGTTAAAAACCACCTTAAAAACACTGAGTAAAAGATCTTTCAAAAATTAAAAGCAGCATCTAGCAAAGGCCACCTAATTAGTTAATACCTGAAGTTCCACCAACCGAGCAGGCCCTGCCCAATCTGAGCTCCCGTGTAAAGCAGACAGAAACAAAGTCTCAGTGATGCATGTCAGAGGTTTGTTAGAAAAGAAATTAAGATCAATTCTGCCTTAAGTACAAACAAACCCAGTAACAGAGTTATCTCTAATCAAAAACCAAGTTACACACAGTAGATAATTCAGAAAGATGAAACAATACAGTGTGTACCTCAGGGAGATCTGATTATTAAGTAAGAACTGTATGTAAATATCACTGTTTACTACATGTTACTGCTGTTGTCTAGATAGAGCTACATACTATATATATATTTATATATATGTATGTATAATGTATGTGTTTATAAAGTTAGAATATATGTTAGTTTTAGTAGTAGGCTAACAATATAGAGATAAGGGGTAGAATGTCCTAGGGTGACTTTATAATGCTTGTATCCCCATTCATCTGTTTAACCCAGAAATAAGTTTTGCACCTTTAAGACTGGTTCTGAAAGCAAAAGAGGACAGAAAAGAAGCACAGCTTGTTATCAGAAACTGCATTTGCTCCCCTGCATCCCTCTCTCCTAGACTATGTTATCTGCAACACAAACAGACTGCAGGACAGAGCTCTCCTTTGCTTTTAGTTAGTTTTTATCTAGCTAAGGCATAAAAGTTCCCTAGACTGTGTTTTTCTTTTTCTCAGAACTATTCAAACCTACTCTAGACTAAAAACCCAAAAGAGCACCGGGAGCTCAAGCCTGTAGCCCACCAGGGCCTAAGACACTGCATTCCAGTGCCAATAAAAAGACTAATAAAAAACAAAGCAAGCCAAGCTACAATCCACAAAGGGGAATTTTTGAGTTCGTCATTTCTTCAAAGTGGCAAGAAATTTTATTGTTTAATATTGTTCATTTTTTATGCTATTGAATACTTTACCTGTTAAATAAACAGGTTTTTCCACTCTTCTCCAAAGAAATCTTTTCCCAAACCAGTTAGAAGAGGGGTCACTTAAATCTGCTTTCTAAAGGAACCCCTTTAGAGGTTTTCTCGCAAATTTGCCCTAAACCAAGACAACTGTACAGACGAAGTTTCAATTTTGTGCTCAAATTACAGAATGCTCTTTTTAAAAACTTAAAAAATATATCTATTTGTTCTTCCTCCCTAATTTAAAACATGCTTTGAATCACAGATGTGGTAGTTTCTGGGTTAAAAGAATGACAGAAAACATAGAATTAATTTTCTAATGCAATTCAAAAAAACCCCTAATTAACTTAATCTGTGATGGAAAACTCTCACTTCTCTATCTCTCTTATGGATGGCAGGGGCAAGACATGGAAGGCCCAGACCAGGTAATGTAAAAGAAAAAAAGAAGGAAAAAACCAAAACTAAACTAAACACCCAACAACAACAAAAAACCAGGTTTTCCACAGTTTACAGACGGGTAACTGCATATGTGATAATGATGTAATGAGAAAGAAGTAAAAACGAGCCCCAAACACTGGGTCTGAAATGGATTTGAAGTTATTCTGTGGCCATTAACACCACAGTATCTTTTACTTTTTCACATTTTTGTCATATTACTGCATAGCACAGAAAACACCATCCTCATAGAAACATTACTAGAACTTAGAGATTCCTTACATATTACTCCCAGTCTTACTACTGTTTTTTTTCTTGTAAAAAAGTGATATGTATAAAACCATTTTAGCATTCCTACCAAATGGAAAAGAATGCATTTCATAAAATCATAATTCAAGTTAAAAGTTACATAAAAATTCTTTTACAACTAAACTGTATTACAGCAGCATACATGCTTTAACTAGGATGGCTCAACAACAGGTGATTTTTCAGTTAGATACATATTCTTATTAAAAGTGCATGTGTGAAGTTTTTTCCTTTTACACACAAAAGTGCACTTGAGTTCTTGTATAAATGTAAAAAAATTATTGAAGTAATTGACATTTATGGAAAGATGCATAAGGTTTTAGTCTCCCAAAGTTCATGAATAGCTTAGAGCTGTAGGGCACCACAAGTTACTAAGATGAGGAATGGAAGGGAGGAGCTGTTAAGGATGCCTCATTTGACCTTATTCCTTAGTCCAGAATGGTTAAGAACTCTCACTGCAATGATACACTATAGTCATCGCATACACTAAGATCAATGCATATGTTTTAAACTTCAATAATTTACCAAGACAAACATATGAACCTAGGCATAAAAAATTCAAACTAAAATTGTTTCAAAACAAAATCCAATTACCTATCCTACAGATTAAACTTTGAGGTGACATGAAACATTTTTTAGAATAATACCTGGTAGCTTCTATTTTCCATCTTTTTACCATACAATTGCTCTTAGAAGATATTAAGGTACATAGCTTTAAATCACTATCAAACACAAGGCAAGGCATAAATACGACTGTTGTGCTCCATATATATTTGTGGTTAGTATCAGTCCCCTAGATTTACAGAACAACATAAAATTAATCAATAGATAATCAAAAATCCTTACCGCTTTGTACCCCGTATCTGTTTTGCATGCTTTTCTCCCTGAAAACATTAGGATTCCTTGCCAGAATAGCCTGCAGCAAGACTGGTATATCTCCTTCTGGATCATCACTGCCAAGGTTATCTTTCAACTCTCTGGAATTGTGGAAGTAAGCAAATAAAGAGGCAAATGCATTTTCAAATTATAAGAAACTATGAGTCAAGTAAAAGAAAACAAAAACCAAAATAACCAAAAAAAAAAACCAAAACCAAAATGAAAGAAGACAATTTACTGTTAAAATATAGGAAAAATCAAGTCTGCAAAGCACTGCTTCCTGCCTCTAGTTTTTTTCACCCTCTTCCTTAAGGAATGGCAGAAGAAATATTCCTGCAAGTCCTCACAATCATTTTCTGTTACTAAACTCTTACATATATGTGGCTGTCAGTTTAAGATTCTCATAAGAAGTTTCTTAGACCCATTTTTATATTTGGTCTTCTCTACAAAAGAACACTTTGGCATAACATCAAGAACACATTACTGCAGGAGTGAAAATAACATATGTATGAATGTATAACATTCAGGTTTCAACCCAATGCTTTGAAAATCTTTTTATTTTGAAAAGGGAAAATTGGCTTATCTTTGAGATCACAGGATTCCCTCTGAACCATAAAGAAATGCAATGGATTTTCTATAAATGCATCTGTGCACTCCTTGTATGCTTTGAGGACTTTTAAAAGCTACTTCCATTTGAACAACACAAGTAAGGAAATGACAGGGCTGTCAACATAAAACAATTCAAGGGACACCATTGAAGGAAGAAATAAAAAAAAAAAAACCAAAAAGAGAATACATTAGCATACTTGATGGCTCAATTGTTAAACTACTTTTAACAATTGTTAAAATACTTAAGTTCAATACCTAATCAGAATTGACACAGGTGTCAAAAATTTTCTTTTGGGTATGTAATTTGTCTATCACATTAGTGACTGATATTGAACGCAAATCAGTATTGCACAATCAACACCACAAAGTCTGCACTCTAACCTATCCAGAGGGGAATAAGCCTTAGATCTGTAAAATAACTGCACAGTTAGGCATAAGGGCTGATGGACGATTATTAACGTTGTCTGAATTAAGCATTTGACTCTTATATTGCAGCCACTTACTAAGCAAGCCCAAGGAAAAACCTGCATATTCTAATTTTCATATTCTCACAAACAAACTTCTCAATCCAGTAAATTTTGATTTCAAGGAGTAAGGATGGTGATCTGATGAACAAGTTCAAAATACATACATGTGATCTGTTGACACCTGATTGAGACTGTGGACAAGCTGTGAAACCAGATTTTCATCCCTGCAGGCCAGAAGGCAGTTCACCTCTTCAGCTATCCGTCCATTGAAAAGCAGGCTTTTTGTTGTGGTAGCAGGTAAAGGTGATGGAAGAGGCAGCTGGTTCAAAACTGTTATTAGAAAACAGGAAGAACTTTAAAATCATTTCATGAGACACAAATACACAAATGTGGACACCCCCTTACTCTCTTAAGAGATTAAGAAAGAAAATCTGACAACTAGAATTAAAACACAGGGAACACTTCTGAATTTTTAAAAAATTCTTAAATTCACACAAAGAAACACACATTCCCATTCACATACCCACACTGGACTCTCTAAATATTCCAGAATATTAAGGTCTTTATAATGTTATGGCACCTTTCTCCTGAAGCCAAAAGCATGGATAAAAAATAAAAGGAAATGCAAAATTTTTGTAATTACATGCAGTACTGTAAGGGCATTGAGAATTTCAGTTTTCTACTCGGATCTCAATATTTAATCAGTGTTACCACTTTATTATAAAGCCTTTAAAGAAAAACCAGAAACACCAACCCATCAAAAAAACCAAACAACCCAAGAATCAATTAAACGCACTAATTAAATTCTCTCTTGTTTGTTCTTCTCTTCTTGTATTTACTCTTATGTAAACCATCTTCTCAAGACAGCCCTAGTATTGTTGGTTGGTATGTTCACTGAAATATCAATTCAGCCAGAAAAACTTACTCATAAATCTTATGGAAAGATTTAGTGAAAACATTATTTTAATCAGATTATAAGCACACTTCAATTTCTTAGGGCATTCTTTGGTCTGAAGACATAACACAGAATTGTGCATACAAGAAGGCTTGACCAGATGATTGTAGGGTTACACAGACCAAAGGAGGTTAAGCCAGGAGAGGCCAAAAGGCTAGATAAAGAGTAGGTCACCACAGTTGGTTCAGGAAAACAAGCTGACTCTAATTGCAAGTTACCAGGCTGATCACATCCCTGAGATCAAGGTTTTAACTGAACCATTAGAAACAATTACATTACAAAAACCCCAATCTAAGTGAAACATATTTTTCAGTTCTTTAACATTTTAAAATTTAAAAAGTGGGGTGATTCCAGCATGTTTATGCCTTATAATGTACGTCATTGCTGTACTTAGGAATAAATTGCAATTCAAATAAAAGTTTGTAATATATTAATATCACTAGCTTTCATTACTTGCAAGAGATTCCCTTGAATGTGCCTGAAACTTGGAAAAATTTGCAATATCAGCAAAACATACGGATTATGTTTTAGCATAAATTTAGCTAGCCTACTCTACTGCCTTCAGGCATCATATCATCCATGTTTTCAGGGCAACTGGCCTTGTCCATTACAGTTCAGTGTTTAAAGGAACTCCTGCACCAGAGGCTGATCAGTGATTTCCACCAGTTAAGCAACCTTACCTGCAAACACTTAATTCTGGAAAACTGTCCATAGCCAGAAACTACTATTTGCATCCTGATGGTCTGATACCAGACACATATAGTCATACATAGATACACATTAAAATACATAACCTGCATCCTTCATTTTAATACTCCAGAATATACCAGAAGTACATGAAGTGGGTTTTTCCTCCAAAACATCTGCCTTTTTTACTGTGAGCAATTAAATTCAATTGCTGGATATATACTTCCAGTGTTTCTTGGAAAGCCTCCAATTTTCAACAGTGTAACAACAGAAGTGCTTAGAAGAAGCACCTAAGGTCACTGAGTCCAATTATCCTCAGAAAACTGAGCTACAAAATCTTTCTTACACTATATAAACAAGATGCCTCTCTGTCCCTGCTGCTCTTACTGCAATGGTTGTTCTAGGTCCACACTACAGAATAATAAATCTCCTCTTAGTTTTCACTAGAAAATTTTTTTTGGACACATTATAATGATTTGGTTTTGTGTCAATATCAGCTTGTAATATAAATAGTTATTTTTCTTTCCTTGCATTTCTTCCTTCCTTACTTAAAGTCAGCACAAACACTTCACATGCTCCCTTTGCAGGCTGAACAGCAAAGAAAAAAGACTCAGGTTTAGCTGCTTATTTGTATTCTAGCAGTCATTTTGTGACCCTACTAACTAGTCCAAAATTAATGAACTAGTTTTCAAGTATATTCAGTATATTCTACAACTCTCTTGATTAGTTGCACACCAGTCTAATCCCACATCTGTCATTTTAGTGAAGATGATGTGATGCACGTTTTAGAAGTACTTTATCATTAATACATTTTTCTTTATTTGTATGGTACCCAGATACGTTACTAAATGATACTGCAAACAAATAATGAATTCCTATATTTTGTTTCTGGTTTCCTTAAGGGGCTTTTTAACCTGTATTTCATTTCATGCTTAAATATGCATGGGTTTTTTTTTAATAGACTTTTAGAATTAAAGCAATAACAAGGCTAACATATTTAATGACAAGTCTGATTTTAAACAGATTTAACTATAAGAACTCTAAAAATAAAAACCTCTTTAGAATTTTGAAAATGCAGATATTTACCAAAGAGGTAGAAAAAAGCATAGTAAAGACCAGAAAAAGAAGAGTACTTACGGTCTGTAAGACTAGCAATCCCTGCAAGAGTAGTGATGGGAACATGAGGCATATCCCCATTCATCCTGAAGTTCTGGGAGAGTAGTGCCTACACAGATATTTCAGTTCAGGTGCCAGCTATCATTACTTCCCATCTCCCAAGCACTAAACATAAAAAGAACAAAACCAAATAAAATCTCTCAGTTTACTTTTTTTAAATTTTACATTCATTAATATAAATGAAACACACCATACTACCTTTAGCTGCATACTAAGTAAATTTTTTCAAGAGTGGGTAGAACAATGTGGATTCTAAGTAACAAGTAGCATTAGCCAACTAAAAGGCAAGCTTCCTTCTGGTCTCAGAAGCAACCCCTTCATCAAAAAAAAAAGATGCAAGGTAAGGCAATTAAAAAAAAAATTGGTCAGGTTATTCAACACTGACTCAAAAACTGGTAACAAAACTCCTGTTAGTTCATGCTGAAGAGTAATCACACTTAATGCATAACCAGTTTAAGTAATTAGCTGTTACATTCACTTCCCAGTATCACAGAAGGAGGCATTTTCATAAAGAGACCAGCAAAACTAAAAGTAGTAATTTAGATTTAAAAATAAAGAAGCAAACATACTGACAAATACAAAATCTAAGTATATTGTAGAAGTAGTAGATCAAGACAAGATGTCTTCAATACATAACTCTGTCTGGACAACTAACTACCAAAAATTCTAATTACTTCCCTTGGGGAAAAAACAAAGTTTTGCCACCACTGAATTAGCTCATTTCTTTCCTGTAAAACAGCATATTTTATATTCAACAACAGAAAAAGGAATTAATTCACTTGGATTTCACTGATTATAAAGATCCCAAATGTAAGGAAGTCCACACTGCTAAAGGGAAACCAAAAACTGCAGTTCCAAACTATCAAACATCACACACTACAATCCCATAGTATATTGTGAAATTGACATGATTTTTCTTAAGACATTAAAGGAATTTGATATATGGTTACCTGTTGTAGACAGGCACTTGTGTTGACAGTTTGGGAAACAGTAAAGAGTCCTTACATAAGCGTTTCACTTATCTACATCCTCTTATACTCTTAACATTCTCTTATCTATCTAAATAATGATTTACTTACTTTACAAGCCTACATTTTTGAGAATTACATATAAAATACATACAAATCAAGAGATCCTGATAATTTCCTTCGTAATGTTCTTTCTTATGCCAAACCAACATGGCAACACATGGCAATACATCAAGCACCACTGCTTATAAATACGTACAGACTCCAAGACAAGGAAAAGAAATGTTACAAGGCTTTTTGTGCTCAAAGTCTTCATCAACCAGTGAAATTACCTTTTCAAAGTTTCCCTATCTGCACATTCCTCGAAAAACTGAGGTTAAACAGAACTGACAGTGAGTTGACTTCCTTTGCCACACCTGCCACAATCTCATTCTGACCTAAATTACTTTTTTAAAATTAAAATTACAGTACCTTGCCAATACAGAAATCTAGTCAGTAAGGAAAATGCTACAGACAGATACTTTGTGTGGATTGCTGTGTTTGGGGTTTTTTTTTAATCCAGGAGAAAACTTCCATCAGAACAGTTCCAAGTTCTACTCAGTACTCAAGGGTTTTTTACCCTAAATGAATACAAATATATGCAGAATTTCAGGGCTTGCCTAGTTGCACAAATAAGCAATTCTTAAAAAGAAATTTTAAGAATCAAAGAAAATGCTCTAAAAGAGACCCATAATGAGTCTGTGGCAATAAACCCACAGGAGATAACACTTTTTAAATCCAAGTTTTCACTGAAAGTCTAGAAACTAAAGAACACCTTTCACACATGAATTGTATTTACTATAAAAAAAATGTCATGTCTGATGACTTCTCCTGACTGAAACTTCTTCAAAGGAAAGTCCACGTCACCAGCCAGTATTATTGGAAATTTTTATGTAGCACAGAAACACTGAAATATAAGAAAAAAAAAAAAAGTCTATTCACTTTCACTTCCTCATCACATGAGAAACTGTCACTCCTAATTCAAGTTTGATTGGGGATAAAAGCATCATATAGCCAACCCAGGACAATTCCTAATTCAAGTATTACTGCCATAATAAAGATAATTATAGAGACATTATACAGGAATAATTCCTCCAAAATCAGACACTTGAAATTAGAAACCTTCTCCACAGATACAGGATAAGAACCTGAACCTGGCAAGGTCCAGACCTCAGAGTGGAGCAACTGCAGTGAGCAGGGGAAAAGTAAACTTTCTTTGTAAGAGAAGAGTAAAAGGGATTGGTTTGTTTTACTAACAAAACAAAGGTCAAGAGGGGATGTGGTTGCTCTCTCTAAGGCAGTCAAAGGAGGCTACAAAGGAAGAAAGCCACAGAGCAATGCTAACACAACAATAAATGGGCACATAAATGCAAGCAAGAAGAAAACCAGAACAGAGTTTTTCATCATCAGAGCTGCCAATTTCTCCAACAGCCTTAAATGAGTAGAGATAAGCAACACCACTACTCCAAAGACGGATTGTACAGATGTTACAGAAGGGACAGGATGTGGCTGTCTGCACCAGCTGGGGGCTAAGCACGGCAATTCAAGAACTCCATCTCTGACATTATGAAGTTTCTGTAAGCATGATGAAACGAATAAACAGATGAGAGTAAACAAGACAGAAAGAGAGACTGATGGGATTAAGTGATGGGATTAGTTTACAAAACAAACACAATATGAAGAAACCACATAGTAATATCTGGGTCCAAATACTACATCTGTTGTGTTGAGGGCAAAATTCCATCTGTTATAAAACTGGCATACAAGGCAGGATTCAAATCCAGAAGCAGAGACTAAGATCCAGTGAAACTACAACTCAAATTTGATGCTACTGAGAACATAAGAAAACCCATTCATTTTAAGATTTTAAGATCTCAAGCAGTTAGGGGAATAAAGATTGACAACTCAAGACAGTATAGGTTGTTTCATATAAAACATCAGTACAGCACGTAACAATAGCTTGACTGTTAGACAAGTTTTATTGGGGTTTTTCTCCTCTACCTCCATTCCCCAAATATAAGAAGAATGTAAGTTAAAAGTACTGTTGTAGCAGTTTACTATTAGTCAAGAAGAACAATAATTTTCAATATCTAAAAATTTTCCATTGCCAGGCTTGTTTAGTAATTGTTAAAAATAGTATAATATTTTTACCCCTTAACTGAAAAAATGAAACTGTTAGTTACATTAGCTGAATTACGGAAATTAAAGATCTGCAGTGGAAGGCTTTTAACCAGTGCATTAAACTGTAGTGTAGCAGTTCAGAAAGAATACAAGAAAACCAGTCTATATAAATGTATGAGGTCTTGTATATTCAGTATATAGGTACTTATGCTCTTGTTTCTTTATAAGAAAGAATGGATACCATAGAAGACATTTTCAGGAGGAAGGAACTGCAGTACACAAAGGAAGCAACACAGAGAATCCCTCAGTGAAAGAAAACAGTGAAATGGCAGCATATCTAAAGAATAACGCAGGAAAAAGTTATCATCATAATATACACTAATACAGAAAAGCCAAGCCAACATAGAAAGGGAAGTTGTATTAAAAAAAAAAGTTTAGGCTATGGTTAATAAGTACAAATTTAAAGTGTTATTTTTGTAAGTCATCCTTTTCCCTTTTTTTTCTTTTTTAAATTATCTATATTACCCTTTACTGCAAAGGCAAAATTAAGGGAGGAAGAGAGGATGAAAGTAAGTAACTGGGAACAATTTAAGTACAGACATTGACATCCAGCAAAGAGAAACTACAAGCATAAAAGGAAAAAAATAACAACAACCCAAGCAAACAAAACAAAAAAATTACCCTGTAAAAATAAAATAAGAAATAGAAACAAACTGCAGTTGTAATATTTTCAGATATTGCATTTAACTATCAATTAAATGATGAGAGGACTCTGACCACTGGTTATCATATAATGGTACAAGCTCTGCATTTATGAAAAACTCCTCTTGGTTGAGAAACTGTCGTGTCTCTAACGAAAATACCAGGTTTTCCGCAGTTGTGCCATGTGCATGCATGAGAAGAGTAAAAAACAAAACAAAATGAACAATCTGTTTATGCAGTAATACAAAAAGGCTCAGCAGTAAAGCACTGATAAGTAACCAGTCTCAGTACTGGGTAGTTTCCTAGGTACATTTAAATGTTTCATTTCTCCTTCTCCAGGGTATTCTTTAACTTATTATATTTTCAGATTTAAAACAATGTATTTATATGCAAGTGACCTGGTATTTTCCAAGAAGTAAAAAGGTGGATTAAAATTAAGTTTTAAAGAAAAGCTACGAAATTAGATATCTATGCTTTTCTTTTTTAAATACATTCTATTAAGTAGAGTACTTTAAATAGTCTTGTTTTATTTTGCTTAGATTATGAAATCTTTATTTAGCATTAAAGTACTTTAAAAAGCAGTTTCAGTTTCCCATATATTCAGTAACGTCACATAGATATAACCACAGCATCATGATCTTGACTTTTCTTCTTTTGCATAACAAAATTAAACTAGAATAACTATGTATTAGCTAATTCATAATTTAGATGAAGAGTGGACATTTTTCTTTTCTTTTAAATCAGCAAACCTGAATCACAAATTTATGAATCTTTGTCTCACAGTCAGTTTGAAACTTCTACATTTTGCAATAAATTACCTTTCTTGTTTGTTACTACACAAATCCTTGCTATCTCTCAGTCCATAAAGTATCCCTCAAAAATGCTTAAAGATTGAGAATCACAAAGAGAATGAATTAATATTCTTTAGTTCTCATTCAGGTAAGATACTGTGACTGAGGTACATCAGACAGATTTATCCACAAGAGGGCAGATTTCTGGTTTCTATTCCAGAGCTACAGTTTTATACAATGACAGTAAATTTCCAGAACTAAATGCTTTCAAAAATACTTCAAAAAACATACTAAAGAAGGAGATACGGTTGACAAAGCATAATCTAATATGTAAGTATCTGGGGAGGGGTAAGCATACATATTTACAATATAAAGCATTTAAAGCTAATTCAATCTCAGAAAAAGTCAGTATTGGAAATACTGAAAAAGAGTGAACATTTATTTAATCAGCTGCCTGATGCAGCTGTCTAAGGTTAAAATAGTA